AATATTTTTGGAAGCAAATATTCGTCCAATGGAAACTTCTGCGACATGTTAATCCGTAGCAACGTACATCGCGTCGAAGATGAAGTTTCCGAAATGTTTCTCTGGTTTTATTCGTCGTTGTACCGTATAAAATAAGAACAGGCGAAAGAGACACCGGTACAAATTTTCTTTTCAATATTTATAAGCGCGACGTGGGTGGACCGACGCGGTTTCTTCCCGCTCGAACCGATCCTAATCGTTCCGTGTTCCGACTGCACTTTATCCCCTCCACTTCTGCCTATGCTGAAGCTTTAACACCGCATAATGGCGCACCTGACTCGTTAACCAACGGAACAAGAAATCTCCGGTTTTTTAAAACTCGATTTCTTATTTTCCACTCCGTTTCTAACGATAAATAACGTTCCAGGTATCAGGTTTTATAGAAAATAGGCAATTACGTGTCGATTTTTTCAACCTCACCGATTCGAATTAATTTAAGTATCATGGAAATACGTGCTCAAGTAGAATTATACAAATTACGTATCTCTCGGACTTTCTGACAATCATTGCTTAGCCATATTCATTTATTTGACCGCAATATCAGGTATAAATAGACACTGTGTGCATGGCATAGGTATATACCAAGCATATGGTATATAATAAATTGTTAGTATTTTTACTGCTATGCATACATTGTCTATCTATACCTGATATCGTATATACCAAGCATATGATATATAATAAATTGTTAGTATCTTTATTGATATTTTTCAAGAAAACGTAACTTACTTTTTTAATGTATTGAAAATTGGCTCGATATTTTTTCTCCTCTTGATTTCAAGAAGAACAGAAAAATTTTGGGACTGTCTGTCGTGAAAAATAATCGTAATAGCGGTTATTGGAACGACAATAAAATTTTGGCTAAGGTTTAATTAAATTTTGCAATAGCGATGATAAATAACAAGTTGTGCAAGCCTTAATCCCAAGAATTCCTTTTGATTTTTTAGCAGGAGAGCTACGAATAGCAGCTGGCTATCAGTCATTTCAACGGAAAGCAATAAAAGAAATTGACAAAGTAACGTCCAGAGGATGCCACGCTCAAAATCGTCCTTACGTTCCATTCCTAAATGAGCAGGTATAAACTGTGAATGTTTCTTAAATGTATCCTTTTCAAATACGACATAGTGCCACTTCATACGATTATGATGCTTTAATGATTCAAGTTTCCACGTATTTTATGGCGCATAAAATAAAACGATTAAAATCTCTATGATTCTGCGTCTAGTCTGGCTAAAATACTTTTGCAATAACAAAATTATGGCTGCTCGAAAGTTGCTTCGAGTTATGATTCACAACTGGCAAATATAATAAATAAGAAAGTAGCAAAGTGAAAATATCAGCGAATTCTAATATTTTCGTCTCTTACACCTAGGTTGATTAGGAAATCAAAATTGTCCTCAAATGGATTCAATATTTGTTACTGAGAAGTATTTGCTGGAAGTTTTTAATTTATATAATGATTTCTATAATAATTTTTACAACGAATTTACACAATAACTAGAAAAATAGTCAGTAACATTCAAAGAGAAGAATAATATTAAACACTATTTTTAAATATTTAATAACTAATTAAACACTTCATAAACCATTTGAAAATAATAAATGACACTATTTACAGAAAGTTCAGAATAAAATCACCTAACCACCTCTTCTGAAAGTACAATAGATACCCTAAAGTTAATCCTCATGGTCCACTCACTTACTAAATTGATTAACTCCATAAAACAAACAGTATCTGTACCAAGTGTTTAGACGCCAAAGAATAAAACCTTAAAAAGCTAGAGTCAACTACATTCAGAGGACTGACATGTACCAACTGCCAAAGAAACGCTACACAATTAGCCAAGACTTTCATTCACACAATTCCATCATTCATACCCCTCAAACATCCCTTCAGAGATCCTTCAATGACCCACACACCTCATACCTGCCGACCTAAACTCCCTCTACCTTCCCAAAAGGTACAGACCCCAAGAAAAGTCAGCTCCAAGCCGCGAGCTTCCAACGTGGAATCGAAGAATCAACGTAGGTCGAAGAGAGACACAGCGAGAGGACGCGCGAAGAAATTTATTCAAACGCTTGCAAAATCCTGCGAAGACGGCATCTTGTTCGATCTGCTCGAAGCACCCAACAAATTACGGTGGTACACGCACAGCAGCGATACCGAATGACATTCATGCCCGAATCTACGTTGCGTCGCGTCCCGCGTGATTACACGGTAGTATCCAGGACCGTAAGAGGGGTCCGGAGCTTCCTAATTCTCCTAAGCGAAATTAGCGTCGCTGACAAGAAGCAGACCCTGGCGATGGCTCATCGACCGGTATCCCGACACGGTTTTACAGCTTATGGTCATCGACAGGCCATTTGGCCGCTTTCGGGAGAACGATGTCCAGAAGGCCCCACGAGACTCCTGCCAGCCGCGACCTTCTTTGCGACCATTGTAAACCGAGCTTTCCGGGGCCCTAACGCCGGCGCCAGGCCTCCGGTTTACGACACTCAATCGATTTGGCCCTGTCGTTAGTTCCCTTTAACGAGTGCGGACCACTGTCCTTCCGTTTCGTTCCCTTCCTCGTGTTCTAGGACACACTCGTAGATTCTAGCCTGTGTGCTTTTCCTGCTTTCATTCAGCCTCTCGAATGGACTAGTGACTCTCGGAGATTTAGGTTAGATTTCTGTTCGATCTGGAATAATACAGCGAGCCGTGTTTATTTGATTGTTCTTTCGTTTTTGGGGGAAAAATTACGTGACTCGCTGAGCATTAACCCTTTGCGATAAGTCATGTGCATGTATGTCATCAAAATAGTACCAAATTTCATGTATCTGGCTATCAAGTTAACATATGTTAACGGACTGTCAATAAGTATATACCAAACCTAATATCAAAACTTTAAGTGACATGCTATGGTCTATTTGTGGTATAAATTTGTTTTCAATGTATTGAATATTCGATTTGACATCAAAATCAAATTCAATTTCATAGCTACACCTTGTAGAAATTTAGAGTCGAATTAGTATTACGTATGCAAATAAAATTGTTCACTTAAATCAAATTTAATTTCATAGCTACACCTTGTAGAAATTTAGAGTCGAATTAGTATTACGTATGTAAATAAAATTGTTCACCAGTTACTTTTGCAATGTAAAGTTTTTTATAATCGCAAGATATTATTTCGAATGGAAAAGATGATAAATACCTGTGAATTTATTTATGCAATAGTCTACACTTTTATATCTTAGTCGATGAAAACAGGATCAAATAACACATTACACAGAAATAATAATTATTTTCATAATGATGCGACTAGAATGCAGTGGGTTAAATGTATATAGAGTAAGAATAACGTTCCAGGCACTGCTTCCATGTAATCAAATTACTGGTGCCATCTATTGCCGATAAATGAGAATTTTCAACGCGTTTCTATTAATCTGTCAAGAAGAGTTACCGATATAAATATACTTTAGTTTCGTGACGATGAAGCTTTAGAAACGAGACTCTTAAAGGAAGTATGAAACCATATTTCGAATTGATATGTCAAAGGACAAATCGTAAATAATACGTGACAATGATATTACGATGCACTCGCGACAGTTCGATGTCTTAGGTTAGAATTTCGTCACAGTGTGTTATACTTCTACTCTTCGTGACAATTCTGTACATTCCGAGGTAAGCATTTTATAATTTCTTACGAAACAAATATTATCTACTATATTTTTTCAGGTTATGATACACTGAAATTGATCGAAGAATAATTAAAATTGTATCAATCCGAAGGCAAACATCTCGACGTAAGTGTAAAGTCAGCAATTACCGGAATAATAGAACGATGAAATCGCTGGCTCGTTCACACATAATCCCTGATATGGAAAAAAACGACATTCTCGATTCGTAATGTCTAATCGTTCTGTACACAAAGTTATCGATAATCGAAGACATCCTTCGCGTATTACTAATACTGTGGAGAAATCGGTGCTTTCGGCAGATCAAAGACACGCCGCTTCGTAGCAAAGAGTGTTTCCAGTATCAGGGGCTCGATAACATCGCTGTTATCAGGTTGACGAATTGACTAGCTGTCCGATAAGTGGCAGGAATCTCATCATCGGCTGTGATCCAACGTCACGATTAATTCTCTATTTTTTTTTTTTTACGTGACAAGTACGTACTTAGAGAGATGTTAAATTTTCGTCGATCGAATGCTTGTTAAATAAGATAGTAATTAATTGAACTTTGGAGGTATCGTACGATACACTATTGACCGAGTATTTCATTTTTAATAAGAATTTAGAAATAAACTTATGTCATAAGTTTTACATAAATAAATTTTTCATAATACATTTCTTTATTTACAATCTTTTCTTGTTTTTAAGACTGTGAGCTATGTATTATGAAATATATTATGTATGTCTTGTGAAAAATTTATAGATTTGATTTATTAATCTAAGAGAAATAGAAAATATTTCTATATTAATATTATATACAAATATTCTACATGAATTTTTTTTTCTTTTATTAGATATAATTTGAAGATACAAGAGGGAATGGATGATAATTGTCTAAATTACTAAGGAACAGCTGGTGATCTTTTAAGTAATTAATGAAGGTATAATAGTAGTAACTTAAAAATTGAAATGGATAATGATCAACTGTATGTTTATCAATATACATGATGTGCTTCTATATTTTGTTTTAGTGTACAAGACGGGGCTCTGCCATTCTTACGTCACATCTTATCGTTAGTTCCTCTAATCGATCGTTTGGAGATTATTCGTAGATGATCAAAGAAAAACTGCAAGTCAATTACTTGATACACATGGTCCCTACATATTTATTTACCTACTATTTTTAAGAAATATGTTCACCTTTTTTATTAATAAAAATTTCGAATAGATATAGAGATAATGGAAGATGTATGTGAAGAACAAAATATTTATGGCTCATTTCCACGAGTAACTGATTTCTCAGATTAGCGCGAAGAAAATTCGATTTCCACGAAGACTAATGGGTTTCGAAATCGCACGACGAAGACGAATTATCGCGTTGTTCGCCGGATTTCATCGCTCTGGCAGACAACTTAATTTGATATAGACGTAATGGCGTCCAGAAAAAGACTTGATTACGCCAAAGAATTATCATCGTGCCAACGAAGTAGCAAACTGGATGTGAATACAAGCATTTTTAAAATTAAGCAAAACACGAATTAAAAAATACTGGTAGTTTTTAACATTTTTACGAAAATTAACTTACCGAACTAATTTTTTTAATTTTAAAAAAACGAAAGAGCTGAAAATTAGATATATACCACTAAATAAAATTAACATGGATAAATTCTAATAAATATTTTTAGTATTATTATAGCATAAATTATCTCAAAACCTTAACTATAAAATGGTGATCTAATATTGTTGGAAATATTATTTTCTGTATATTCCACAGATGAACAAACGAATGATGAACGAACAACGAGTATCCAACAAATTTCTCCAAAAGAAATTTCCCCAGAGGAAAATTCGTAACATCTATCAAATTTTTCTACATGTTATATTTCCTTATCAGACTATATTTCGACACTTGACTGATATATCTTTCCTTGTTTCAGAAAACTGCCGTACATTCGAAATGGTATTTTTACTCCAACTGTGCAAATCTGCGATCAAGCTTACTGTACAATTACTCGGTACCTTTCTCTTTCCTCGTTCGCGATTAATTCTTTCGATAGGAGGCAACGTGCCAAACACACTTCGAACTTGTACCAATAAATCACGTCGAGTCACGGTTACCGTCATACGTATGTTTCATTTTCCTTTTACAACGTTTCTTCTCGTTATCGATGGCCCCGTGTAAACGGTGTAATTTGTTCTCGAGGACCTAACGCGCAACGAACGATAAAACGAATGAACTTTTTAGCTGGAAACGAACGTGATTAAGAATTGCCGGAGCAAAAATCTTTGAGCAGATAAGAAACGCTTTTGCACGTACTGATTTTATTGCCACGCGAATAGGCTAGAAATTTGATTTCGAGATCGTTGCTGTTCTCAAGTGAGTAGCAGAAAGAAAAATAGGTGAAGAACGTTTTGGACATCTCAGAGATCTTTTTACGTCTTCGTTTGGAGTTATGGGGTTCCTCGTTGGAGAGAGAAAAATTAATTTTATGTAGATTGGTGACATAGTTGTGAAAGTTTGGACAAGATGTACATTAATACATAATTTATACGTCATTTATGTATGCATACTGAAACTTTTAATATTAATATTATTTTATATTAATATTTTTAATATTTTAATTATTGTCGACAATTGCTGAGCTGAAAGATTTATCTTATAAACCATTTTATGGACGAAATTTTAATTTTGGAATTAGAGTCTTTTAATCATTTTTCTAATTATGATTTATGTGAAGCTACGAAAAACTTTGAATGTAGTTCTATTACTGAAAGTAGCTTCGAGCTGACTTGCAATATTGCAATCACAGCGAGATCTTTTAGTATATGAAAATGTACACAAAATTATGCATTGTTCACGAAAATATTCAGCATAATTTATCAGTTAATTTTTGCATAGTAATGGCATAGTAATTTTATGTTTTGATCGCAGTGTTTCAATCTCGCAAAAATTATGACAAATATCATAATCTTTCATACATTCAGCCTTATCTTCACATAAATCATTCTTAAAGACAAAGTTTCAAAATAATATTTTGCTATATCTTCGTTTTCAAACAACAACTGTATTTCAATTATCTGAAGAATAATTCATACAAGCTTCTAAAATACAAAAGAGAAAAGTAAAATATCACTGGCATAATCGATATCTAATTTCGACCAATTCTTTTATGCTCCATCCTTCAATTATAATAATAATTCATAATAACGCGATTAGAAATATTTTATTAGAAAATTAACAAAATATGAGGAAGAGTCACAAATACAATCATGAAACCATGTGGACCTATTTAATCTCCAACTACGCTACTTAACCTAATAATAACTCAAAGTAACATGATGAGAAACTTCGATTAGAAAACTTCATCTTCAACCAAGAAATAAAAAGTTACTAAGAGAGACAAAAGCATGTCTCATCCACAAGCATGAATCATCTATCGCTATTTAACCAGACTACTTCCACTAGCGATAGCTCAAAATAGAGCTCAAAATAAATTGACGCGAAGCTTCGATCGGAAAACTTATTTAAATTCAAAATCTATCTTAATCAGAAAGTAAAAAAGAATAAAAGAGATAAAAGCACTTATCCAGAAAGAGTCAGGAATACATGGAACCATCTATCGCTATTTAGAGCACAGCGACGAGTTACAGGGGTCAACGTCGCGTGGTTCGGTGAGACGAGGCGAAGGCATTGATTAACATTAAAAGCAAGGGCTCGTAGCAAGACACTGATAGATGTCTACGTACGCCGATAGAAAAAAGGATCCGGGCCTAATTCAATTGCAGGCCGCCGTTCCGCAAACACTCATGATAATTCAATCAAGCTCACCCCATCGAGCTATTCCTGTTCCTCCCTTTGGACCGGCCCCATTCGACCAAGAACCCCGGGCAGGCGCCCTGCAGAGGGTGGAAACGGCTTATAATCTCCGTACGAGAACATCTGCACTCTAATCGGCTGATGATTTCCACCTAAACCTTCGTCGATCCTTCTCCAGCCACCCTCGACGCTCGCTATGCCCTTCGTCGGTAAATCATGCGGTTGTCTATGGACATTACTCCGCCGAGTATTCGTCGTTTCGGGTCGATTTTATTGTTCATACGATTTATCAAATTCTTACGAACGATGATCCTCTGAAAATTTAATTTCAATTCTGAACTACGAATAAAATTACACGTGTCGGAATTTTTCCTTAGTTCATTCAATAAACGCGACTAATTTTGAGGTTATAAATAATCTTAAATTTTTAAAAGACTGTTCTAATATTTACGAAAATGCTGACGAATGCTTTTTCTGTTACGTAAAATATCGAATTCTCTATTTAAACCTCCAAACGAATTTTCTTAGTGGATACGTAACTTTAACTTCGTATTAGTGAATTATTTCGTTGTATTTGGAAAAGTTACTTCGAAAAGTTGTCCAATTTATTTATCCGACGATCGCTCGAAATAATAATTTAAATCGATTAATTGAAAGACAGAACGACGTAAATTTATAAACAACTTCCTAGTCCAACAATCGATAAGTAGTCGAGTTTCGTTTAAATGACTTATAAACTTCTTAAGAAGATGAATTTTTGAAAACAATTAATGAGCTTTCGCAAATTTTTAAAACCTGTTTAATTGTTCAATTTTCCTTTTTCGTCGAATCCTCGTTGTTTATAATTTCTTTATTTATGAGACGAGAGAACTTTTCTTTGCATCGACATATTTAAAGCCAGTGTCAATTTCATGTATTTATTTTCACTCTCACAAAAATAACAGTCTTAAAAGTAGCCTTGCAAAATTATAGTCAGAATTAATTATATTGTTCCATCATAAGAATGTCAATCCATTTAAAGGTTATAACTAACGTTTTCATACTAACCTAAAATTATACAGTAATAGTGAATATACTAAACTGTATTCTTTTTAAATTACAAATCTGTATTTCCATCTTGAAACTCAAATAATCCAAATAACGAGATGAAACTAATTTTTCACTGATTATTAATTTATATTTACAACCATGAGTATAGCAAATATTATTGCATTGTACAGGAGCTCCACATGGTTCTATTTCAATTTTGTCATAATATTGACATATATTACGTGTATCTTATACTTTCTAGATGTGTGTCTATGAAGTAGGGCTGTATTTGAAATCATTTAATTTAATTACTTAAAATTCTTCAAGATTTTATTGCTTTCTTTAATATACTGTATTTTTATTTGAGTTTTGCAAAGTTTAGCTTTTAAAAGGTTTGTTTTATATATCACTTATGATTATAACGACGACAAATAATTATCTTAACTGTAGCTAAGTAGGTAATTATGCTTAATTATGCCTGAGGAAACAACTGTTTGTGAAACAGTAAAAAAGACAGGAAAATATTTCTGTAAAAGGATTCCCTATCGAAAGCAGCCTATAATTCTTGCGAGAAATATTAATATTATGCAAAGTTTTAATTTAAATGCTCATAGATTAAAAATTAACATCCTTTATCACTCTTAAAAAATTTTACCACAAAGATACCGCATTATACATATGCAAGATTTGTTTCGAAGTTGCAAATTATTTCAACAATGTCATGCCAAGGTTATGTCATCGCTAATTTGTCGAAACGTCGCTCGATGCAAATTATACGAAAGACCGCTTCGCATGGTGAAAACGATGCAAGGAATTACGCTATTCGCATAAATGTTTTTCAAACGATACGCAGAGCTCTCGAATTTTTGGCGATTTTATGAACGAAGGTAATGAAATCTTGTTCTTCATTTGCATAAAAATTGTTTTTACCGTTAACGAACCCGAAGCGAATTCTTTTTCTTCCCAATTTGACTTTCAAATTTCCCGCCGTTGAATATGCATTTTTCTAATTTTCATGTTCATTGCGAATTACGTCGATAACGTACACGGAAGAATAAGTAAGTACAATCGTGGAAGTAAATCTGCAAAAGAATAAAACGGTGACACTTGTATGTTAACCTCTCATAACCACAATGTCGTTTATTTACAAGGGTTATAAGAAAGGATTATCGTAATCAAACCTTCTCACTACGAAGCGAATGTATGCTTTGCCACATATAAATTATTTAATGTCGATATGACATACTGATACAATAGCAAAATACACAAGTATATTGACAAGTAAATAAAATCCGAAAAATATAGATACACGTGTACGTCACTTCCAAGTCACATGGCGTTATAGAGGTTAACTAGCATATTACTATTGTGTCGTATATTGCACTCCTATGTCAACCTATACTATATCCTTCACACGGAATACGCCACGACAGTGTATTATTTATGTTACGAACTACACACGTAATAGTACACCACTTATACTCGATGTCGACCGATAGTACGATATTTACATTACAAAATACATGGCGATTCTATAAAATACTAGAATACGGCATGATGCTCGTATTGAACGCTAGATAGCGTACTATTTATACTCTATGCTACGTAATAGCGTTCTGTTGCGTAGTATGCACTATCGATATAATGTTCTCTATATCGATACGTTATTCGCACTAGATAATATACGATATAATATCTGCCATTCTAGAATATTGCAACGAGCCGGTTACCACCGTTTGCATATTTTTCCAAATCTTTCGTCTCGCAATTGTAGCGGTAGGCATTAAAAATATAATTTCGTCTTGTTCCTCCGTTTATCAACTTTCATATTATACTTGGTACATGTCGGATGGGACCGATGGCAGAGCAAGGTGGGTTGGGGTAGAGAGGCGGATATTTAAATATTTAAAGCCGACGTCAGGTAAAGTTATACGCGTCGGTGAGCGGCAGAGAGAGAGAGAGAGAGAGAGAAAGAGAGAGACAGATAGAGAGCGTGCGTGCGTGCTTGCGTGTGAGAGAGAGAGAAGAAGATAAAGGATCCCACCGTTAATGCCTTGGTCGTTTTCGATGCATGGAATGCTGATACCGCGTAAAACTTTCGGGGCCTAATCATGCAAATGTATTAGCCATTAATTAAAATCAACGCGAGTTACGTTTTGTTCGATGCCAATTGAGAAGAAAAAGCTTTCTTCCTTTTACCGATTGTGGGTAATTCGTGAAATAGACAAATTTTCTACTGCCTCCGGGGGATCTTGTTAATTCGCGATTTGACAGATGACGCGACGAGAATGAAGGTTATGTTAAACGTTGTACGCGGGAAATGAACATCCGTGAAATCAAATATGCTCTTCTTGTTGGTACGCGTTTTGTTTGTATGTTAGTGGAAGTTCACGCGTTTGAGATTCGTATTTATTCGATGGATTCGTGTGTTTGTGCTGCATTGTTTAAATATGTTTTAAAGTTAATGTTCGT